CAGCACTCCCCTTGGTGATGAGGAATCGCAGAATAAACTATTGCCGATGGTACCAACCATTTGGTATACTCCCTACGGTTATCCCTCACTAACTTCATCTGCCAAACCATTGCTCAGTTTCACCTTACTCCCCATTTCGTGGGGTTTTTCGGATGCGTTTTGAGGGTTTTGTCCTCGGCACCGTTCACTTCGGCGAACGCCCCGCCCATCAGGGGTGTGCTTCATTGATTTCGTCCGCCAACTTGTTGCCTATCATTTGCCTCATTTTCCACTCTCCGGGCTCCTTTGGAACCGAGTTACGAATTTTTGAAAGTTTTGTGGCAAGCACCGCCCACCTATGGAACGCCCGCCCATAATGGGTATGTCTCACTCATTTCGTCCGCCAACTGATTGCCTATCATTTGCCACATTTTCCACTCTCCGGGCTCTTTTGGAACCGAGTTACGAATTTTTGAATTATGTAGCTCACAACTGTGCGCACGCCCCGCCCACAGTGGGCGGGGCTTAGCCTAGTTCACGTGTGTTCCGTACATCTTGGCCCATGCCCTACCCATCCCAACCTTGACCCGCCCCCTGAAACTGGCTCTTCAGGTAGTTCCGAATTTCCGGACAGACAGACAAACAGACAGACAGACGTCGCCGTTTATATACAGTAGGATTCATTAAGTTGCGTCTTAATTTTTATAATAAATTTTGCAAACATTTACGGACAATTTCGGAGATTTTCCTTATGCCAGTGAAGAAATGAACTGTGCCTGTAAACGATGCAAAGAACCAATTACCAAGTTACATTTTCTGCAAGTCGATGGCCATCTCTTGAAGCTGATGTACGTACAATAAAGTTACTAGTTTACATAATTTCTGTCAGGATATCATGTGTTTTAAAAGTTATTAAGTGGAAATTCTACTGAATGGCCTAATTGGGTCTAGACACCGTCTTCAGCGACGGTATGATTCTTAGTTTGGACTCACTCTCTAGTTTACAAAGCCAGGGCTCATCATCCTGATCCTGATCCTCCAAGGGGGAGGGGGGGGGGTCGTACTTGTTCGCTGGGGAGGGGAGCGAGACATAACTGCCTTCTGGCTTCCTGAGAGAGGTTGTTGACTTTTCGTGGCTTTTCCTGTTCAAATGACCGATATACCTCCCCCCACCCCCGCTCTACAGCAAAATTTTGGTGAGAAAAAGCTCGACAGCTCAAAGCTCGATCGTATCAGAGGAGGCTATAGGGAGGGTCGTATCAAGCCATCCTTTAAGGGAGGGGGTCGAACGGACTCGACCAAAATCCCCACTAGTGATGTGGTCTGCACACAAGACACCTCGTCTTTCCTGGACAGTTGGAAGGCTAGAAGTGTAATGCATATGATCAAAAAACAAACTCGCCCAAAGCTTGACCTTCCTGGGCGGGAAAAATACGCCACCACACATGAGCGTTAGTACAGTCAGGATCCCTGCAAACATAGGGCGTAAGGGGCGTGAATAGGGGCGCATTCGGGAGAGCCTTTCCTGCCAAGTACGCCGACTCAAGATAGCGTCATTGGTGGAAAAGGCCGCCCTGGCAGCGTTTCTCTCCACGCCCCGCCAAGCAATGGCGCTTACAGTCCTCATCATTGCGGACCGGTGGGGCGTGTCAGTGCGGCTCCGTCTTCCGCGGTGCCAAAGTCGTTCTGCACCAGTTGTTGAAGCGGGCAAGTGACATTACTGTATTATATCCTTCGTATTACTCGTTTTCTACCACTTTTTGTCGCATACGCGTTTGCAACAAAAAGGCTGAGAACGGCTTCAACAGTGTGCGCACTCCTTCTGACTCCCACCGGTCCGCAATGATGAGGATTGTACTTCACTTCTTTTTACTCATGCATGAAGGGCATACATCTCGATGAAATGTTGACTCTGCTATTATATAATTCAAAATCTGTTCATATTTTCTACAAGTTATGCTTTACTACTCACTTTGGCTTTGACTTCGGATATGTTATACGACTTAGTCTTGAACTTGATCGGGACTTGGAATTTCGACCCTGTCTTTTTGAGATTCTTCATAAGTTCCAAATTTTCATGTTACAGCTCTTCCATTGCGAGAACATGACCGCGGAGGAGTGTCAGGATTACTATCGACTTAACGCAGCTATGGTTGAGGTATGTTTACCTACTCATCAGCCCTAATGGTAGTATAAAGGTTAGTTTGAGGTGTTTTATGAAACGCTCAACCATGAGGTAATTCAAGAGTCTGAAGCATATGGGTTTGTGAACCTTGTCGCTGATTTTGGTGGACATCTTGGACTTTGGTTGGGTAGGACTTCCGCATGCATTCCGTATCCAAGCTAGATATTCACGTCATTTCATACTGTATTCAAGATTTTCGGTGATAACTATGATTGAGGTGATTGTACTGCTAGTGGAAACTGATATTAATGTTCTGCCGTCGAAGAGCTGAGTCGATAACGAGAAATGACTAAGAATGAATGAAGTTTATCCGCTAAGGAGCTTGAAAGAAAGTCACTATTTCTATTATAGAAGACGACTATGCTATTGTTGCGATATTTTGTAGAACAATATTGTTTGAAATGCACTTTACATCTGGTGAGGCGCCAAAAGTCCTCCTAACACGCCCCATCATCCGCGCCGAAAGGACTGTAGGTGCAGTCTAGTTTTTTTACTGTGATCAA